TAATGTAAAACTGAACGTCTTAAAGCAGATTTTGATGTTTTTTTTTTATTTTTATGTTATTGACAGTGATAAATTCTGATTTAAATGAATGGGTAACAATATTTGTTGGTTAAGTCTTATTGTTCTTGTTTAACAAAGGTTAGTGAGATCATTTTGCAGCACATCACAACCAAAGAAGTCAATGGCACACTCTTTTGAACATGAATAAACATGTTATAGTTGTGTGCAAAAGTCCATTATAAGCTGTAAACTGCTGATACATTTTCAACATAGATTGAGCTTTTCAGACATTACATTACTAATTGCTTCACAAACAGCTGAAATGGTTTATTGTTATTGGCTATCATCATCAAACATTTTTCACAATGGTAGGTTAATCTTCATGGGTACAGAATAATGCATGTGCTTGACCATCTTACAAATCTATGTCTCAGATTCATAAGGCTGTCACTCTGCATGAATCTCCGAATAAATCTTGTGCAACCTTCTGTGTACTGATTATTTACACTATAGGTATTATATGCAATAATTAACTTTGATAGTATTTCAGGATTTGAACTTTTCTTTACGGGAGGTTAACAACAATGTGATGTTTTATTATAGATGCATATGAGGAAGCGCGAAACATCCACACGCAACTGTGATTTCTGACTGGTAGACAGATGAGGACGATGATTGCCTGTCATACATCTAAAGACAGAACAGGTTTGTTTGCAATTATTTTAAACACATACTGTCAACATTATGTCATTGATCTATTACAACCTGTGAGTTTTGCCCTGGCACTATACTAAAGTGATGTTTTGTTTTGTAAATGTATCTGATTAAGGGACAGTATAGACACATCTATACCATGATGAAGAAAAATTACTTGGAACAAAGAGGCTGGATAAAAGGCAGGTATGAAGATTTCAGAAATCAATGCAGAAGTACAAGTACCACAAGTACCATCACCATCAATGACTATGGCAGAAATCTTAAGACCACCATCAAGATGCACAGATACTGTACATTCCAGTACACCAGGCGTGTCCAAACTACGGCCCGCAAGGCTTTTTATAAATATCAATAGAATCTGGCCCGCTATACAAAAATGAACGTAATTCAATAAATAACCACCGGGTGTCGCTATTACATGCATTCAATTAAGCAGCAGTTCTTGTTATGATCTATCTATCTATCTATCTATCTATCTATCTATCTATCTATCTATCTATCTATCTATCTATCTATCTATCTATCTATCTATCTATCTATCTATCTGTCTGTCTGTCTGTCTGTCTATCTATCTATCTATCTATCTATCTGTCTGTCTGTCTGTCTGTCTGTCTACACACAGTTGAAGTCTGAATTATTAGCCCCTCAATGATTTATTTCTTCTGTTTTAAATATTTCCCAAATGATGTTTAACAGAGCAAGAACATTTTTACAGGATGTCTGATAGTATTTTTTCTTTTGGAGAAAGACTTATGTTTTATTTCGGCTAGAATAAAAAGCGGTTTAATTTTTTTTATGAACCATTTTAGGGTCAAAATTATTAGCCCCTTAAGTCTTCAGAACAAACCATTGTTATAAAATAACTTGCCTAATTACCTTAACTTGACTAGTTAACTTGATTAACCTAGTTAAGCCTTTAAATGTCACTTTAAGCTGTATAGAAGTGTCTTAAAAATATCTAGTCAAATATTATTTACTGTCATCATGGCAAAGATAAAATAAATCAGTTATTAGAAATGAGTTACTAAAACTAATGTTTAGAAATGTGTGGAAAAAAATGTTTAACTCTCCGTTAAACAGAAATTGGGGAAAAAATAAACGGTGGCGAATAATTTAGGGGGGCTAACAATTCTGACTTCAACTGTATATATATATATATATATATATATATATATATATATATATATATATATATATATATATATATATATATATATATATATATACACGTGTCTGTGTGATGTATGTAAAATTTGGCCCGCAACAACGTTTGTTTTTTTTGCATCTGGCCCTCGGCCCAAAAAGTTTGGACACTCCTGCTGTACACCTATGAACATTTACAGTCTTTGTTCTAGTGCAGTTTGAGATCAAGACAGAACTTATTGCATCTCGTGATGTCTTTGTAAGAATTGAAGACATCACTAAATTTGTTAAGGTTTAATGCAGCTAGAAAGTAAAGATCAACTAGAGAATATCAGCAGTGTCTAACCCACTGTTGTATTTACAGAAGTTGTATGAGAATAAGCTACAGGTTGATTTTTACTAATCTGTTATTTTTCTTTTTTAGCACGACTGACTGAAGTTTTAAAATCATGCAACGTCATAAAGCAGCAGCTGGGCCTGATTCTCACAAAACCAAAACAGACGTGATGAAATTCCAGATGTAAACACATTTGACCTTCCTTTGGCCAATTTGATTTGGAAAAGCTTGAAAATCAACTAAAGGAGCAGCCTGAACAAATGAAGAAACTGGTAAGTTCAAGCTCTTGCTAATTTCAAAGTGTTTTAAGTTTATTTGTTTTTTTTTATTGTTTTTTTTTTTTTTTTTGCTTCGTAGGTAGCCTACTTTTTTCCTAATTTTTTCTTTTTTTTTTACATTAGTACTTGTTCACTACTAATTATCTGTTTATCTTATCACAGATGGAGTGAGGACAAATGTCCATACCACGCCACTGATAAAGAAGTGGAAAAATGCATTACAAGGTAGCTACAACTTGCCCCTGACAGGGATGGAGGAAGAAAGAAGAGAAAGCTAATGTGTCAAATGTCTACATCACTATTTTGTTTTATTTTTTAAACAACATTTTAAGTGTATTAGGATGTTCCCTGATACTTGAACAATTTGTTTCTTTCATTTGCATTTATATATACATGTGTGTGTGTGTATATATGTATGGTATGTATGTATGTATGTATGTATGTGTGTGCGCCAAATTCTGAAGAAACATCTTGATACATTTTAAATAAACGTAATACAAATAAAATTATAAATATAAAATTGCACAAGACGTGTATATATATGAAATGTATAATCATCTCACTCATGTCTTGCTGTTTGTGCAATTGATTTTGTTCAAGTTTATTTAAAAAAAAGTTTGACTTTATACTTCTGCAATGATATATATATATATATTTGTTTATTATTATTTTAATGTTTTATTTAAAAATGTTTCAAGATGTTTCTTCAGAATTCTGCAGTACTTTTTACAAGTTTGACTTGTATATTTTACGGATTGTCATTGGTATTTTTAAGATGTTTCTTGCTATATCTTAAATTGGTTTCTATATTTAGGTTTATATAAAATTTAGCTGTTTTTTTACAAATTTTTAATTCAAGTCTATTGGGAAAACAGGGTTGTTTTAAAAACATCTGTGTTTGTGTGTAATTTTTAGATTTTTTGTTTAAATCTTTCTGTGTGTCTTTATTGTGTTGTTTTATTGTTGTTTTTATATTGATATTCTTGTGCACTACAAAATTATTTATAAAATTTTAGTACTATTTTTTTCATGCAATTAATAAACGTTTAACATTTATTTATTTTGTCATTTGTCTGATTATTTTCGTTACAGAATATGTATGCAGTTTGCACTTTATTCAAAGGTTAAACGCAGTGCTTACACTTTGTGTTTACATTATAGCCTGTGTTTGCTGTTATATAAATTCAAATGGTTGTAATACCATATATCAAGTACCAATGTAATACCAAAAGGTTTTATAAGGTGTATAAATACAGAGTCGCGCCAGCTCCGGGCCGCAGCGCACATTACCCTCGCGCCGATTTCGGCACGGATGCGCAGCGTCGGCTCGCTTACGGCCGCCGCATCTGGCCCGCTTGATTCGGGCCGGAATCGGGCAGTGAGTCCACAGGCATCCGGCCCGAGTCCGGCAGCCGAAGTTGGGCCGAGGGGTTAGTCTCCGGCAGGCGACAATCTAGCCGGAACTGGCCCGAGTGTATTTTGCTATCTGGGACCAGTTGAAAAATTTCTGCAAGCTTGTTTTTGTCTTTCCATCCCTTGCACCATTGACCATTATTCATTAATTCATTCATTTTCTTTTCGGCTTAAACTGCGGTCACACTGCACTTTTCTCCCCTCAGACTTCCATTTGTACACACACGAATGCATCAGACTGGAAACGCAAGTTCATGTGAGTTTCGCAGTTCACTGTGTTGGAAAGTTCAAGCTTGGTGAACTCTGACCTGCTAAATTGCATCACTTGACTGTGTGAGACCAATAGAGGAACAAAACATGACCTCTCTGGACAGAAATTGAAAACGTTGACCAATCTCTTTTTTTAAATGTCTCAGATCACCGTACGACAGAACTTTGCATACTGGGGGGTGCTAGTGAGCAATGTTTCAATAGGTTGCACTCTTTGACAGCTCCTGCAAAATCTCAAATAAATTGACAGTTTGAAGTATTATGTTTTCATAATTAATTAGTCAGTCTGCCTCAGTTCACTCGTTGCTCCTCCATCCGCGCTGAATCACCCACCAGCGTTCTGAAGTCTCTTCTTCGGCTGCTTCAAATGCATAGTCTGAGCGCACTGCACTGCTCATTCTCACCACCTGGTGGTGATGCACGAAACTGTTGTTGGATAATATGTTTGATAAGTTGGCAGTTTATTACGCTGTGGCGATCCCAGAATAAAAAAGGGGCTAAGCTGAAAAGAAAATGAATGAATGAATAATCTATTTTAATAATAATTGTTATAATTAAATAATAATAACTGTGAATAATAAATGTTTTATAATAATTGGGAAGTAGTGGAATACAAACTGGCAAACATTATGATGTTATTTATAAAGAGCAATAGCACCACCTGCTCTCTCTGTCTCTCTCTCTCTCTCTTCAAAAAAAAAAAAAAAAACTCCCACACAAAATCTTAATCGATAAATCAGTGAGCTGAGTGAAGAGAGACACACACAGATAAAGACAGAGGGATGTGGGCGATTCTACTTTTTTGTTTGTTCCTGTCTTGTAACTACATCTGCGTAACTTTGATGGTTAGTTCAGGTACCTGTCAGCAACAAGGACACTTTACATTAAATGGGATGCACCAGGATGGAGACTTTGTCATTGGTGGTCTTTTTGAGATTCAGAGGTACCTGAAAGTATACCCTGAGATAAGTTTCAGAACGCAGCCAAATCTACCAAACTGTGAACTGTGAGTCTGGACCACAGCTACTGAACAATTGTTCATTTGGAATTATTATGGCTATTTTTTCAAACTATATATAGATTGTAACATTCTCTGGTATTCTTACGTGTTACAGAACTAAAATCATTAAAGACATATTTTTTTTTACTGTAATTTTGTGCTAATGATAATAAATACAATTTCAATTTTCTTCTCCAGCTTTTACATGACAAGCTTCCAGCAGGCATTAACAATGGTTTTTGCCATCAGTGAGATTAATAGCAATCCCAACCTGCTGCCTAACATCACACTTGGTTACCAGATCTATGACAACTGTTTAAGGCTTGGAGTGGCATTTCGGGCAGCTACAGCTCTGATAAGTGGGACAGAAGAGACCATCTCTGACCTCAACTGTAAAGGCCCACCACCAGTTATTGGACTCATAGGTGATCCAGGATCTACACATTCTATTGCAATTTCCAGTGTTCTGGGGCTTTTTCGGCTGCCTATGGTATGAGCCTTTAAAAAGATTATCTTTTTAACAGTAGATTTAAAGCTGAATAAGTATTTGTTTTATTTGTCTGTATACATATTTTGTCTCATCTGTCACATTTTTAACATGTTCTTTCATCTGTTCTGCCCTATATCTTTTCTAATTAGATTAGCTACTACGCCACTTGCTCTTGTTTAAGTGACAAGAAAAAGTACCCCTCCTTCTTCAGAACAATTCCAAGTGATACCTTCCAGGTGCGAGCTATGGTTCAGACCTTGAGGCATTTTGGCTGGACCTGGGTTGGTCTGATTTACAGTAATAATGACTATGGTATCTACGCAGCTCAGTCCTTTCATCAAGAAATGCAGTTGTTTGGACATTGTGTTGCTTTTTCTGAAATCCTGCCCCAAGATAACAACCCCAGAGTTATTGATCACATTATGGGAGTAATTCAGGCCTCTACAGCTAGAGTAGTGGTTGTTTTTTCAGCTTCATCTGTATTGATACCTTTAATGAATGAGGTGGTGTTACAGAATTTGACAGGCAGGCAGTGGATAGCGAGTGAAGCCTGGGTCACCTCAGCTGTATTTCGCACACCATATTTCCAGCCCTTTCTAAAAGGAACGTTGGGCATTGCTATTAGGCGTGGAGAAATCCAGGGCCTTCATAGTTTTCTGTTACGTCTTCATCCCAAGAGTGACCAAAGAAATAATATAGTGAGGATATTCTGGGAGACCATGTTCGGGTGCAGTTTTGAAACTGGGGATGAAGTGACATTTGTTCAACAAATGAAAAAGGTGTGTACAGGACAGGAGGACCTGAGCATCACAAACACACCTTACACTGATGTTTCAGGATTGAGAGCACCTTATAATGTGTATAAAGCAGTTTATGCCCTGGCCCATGCACTTCATGACCTGATGCAGTGTAAAGAGAAGAGAGGACCACTCAGTGAGAACAGCTGTGCTGACATAACTGATCTAAAACCCTGGCAGGTAAGACCCACAGGTACAGTGCAGGGGAATGGAATATGGACAAGCACAATATGTGCCTTATAATTATTTAAATGCCATATATATATATATATATATATATATATATATATATATATATATATATATATATATATATATATATAGGGCTTGGCATTAAGATTCAGTAGATTTTCAACATACTAGCAACTCACCATTTTTATTAGCCACAATTTTGTTGTTGAGAAAATATATTTTATATGCAGAAATTTGACTTTGGCATGCTAAAATTGCTTGATTTAAATTATGTGTTATGTCCACAAGTCTCCTTTACTTTGTTTTATTTTACTAAGGGCTCAACACTAAGGATTTACCTTTTTTTCTGGCCACACCAAAATAATTATTCCCATGCCATGCATTTAAAAAAATGTCAAAACAAAGTAAACATAGCTACATACACACACATTTTATTCAACAAAAAATGTTCTTAAATACAATTGACATTTTAAAAAATCATTCTCATGTATCTAAAACTATAAACAGTAGTTTGTGCAAACTAAAGGTCCCAGATCATCAGGTAACTATAGATACATGGAGAGTGAATCTCTTATCAAAGCAATGTTATTGTAAAGCATGATAATTAAGCCATATTAACAAAAATAACTGCAAGCAAAAGAAAGTAGGTAAAAGACATTATGTGTGCGATAGTAAAATGATGATTATGTGCACATGGTTAACGTTAGGCCCAATAATAATCTGGTCAAAGAGTGGTAAAAGTGAAAGCTGCAACCGCTGCTGCATACAAAAAAATTTGGAGATCTCTTGTTAGCAGCAGGACTGAGGGTGCACGAGCAACGCTCTTTTCCAATCTATTTCAAAAAGGAAGGACTGCACCAGTTGCGTTTCCAGGCACGTTTGTTTTGCACAAGGAAACGGAAGCTTTTAAGCATTCGCACACATCACATCAGCTGTGCCTAGCTCACAACGTCAGTGAGTGAGGATCGCCTGTGTTTCACCCTGCACCTGATCATCCTCTCATTCGGTATTCATCTGTTTTCATTTGCTTGCACAAACAGTTATTGATCGTGCTGCTTCTCGGTTCTAAGTTCACATTTGCATGCATATGGCATATAGAAATGCTCTTAAACTGAATTCTAATCTTTAGGGATGAGACAGCCCTGTCAACTTAAAAGATATTTTCAGCCAGCCATAGCTGAAATCTACCCTCATTTGGAGTGCTGGTGGGAGTTAATATCAAGCCCTGTATGTATATATATGTATGTGTGTGTGTGTGTTTAACATCTGTCCTGTCTACAATCTACAGCTGGTTCCCTACCTAAAAAAAGTGAATTTTACCACAGGCTTTGGGGATCCTGTGTCATTTGACAATAATGGAGATGCTCTTGCCATTTATGATGTTCTGAACTGGCAGCCGAGCTCTGAAGAATCAATTAAACTTCACACTATTGGTGTAGTAAATGATGAGGTGGCAACAGGAATGGTGCTCAGACTGAATGAGGATGAAAAATTTTTTTTTTTTTTCTGGTAATTTTAAGTCTAAATACTACTCAAAGCTTACAGATGACAACAATTAGAAAAGTCGAGCTTGTCATAATGTGAAAGATGACAGAAGCATGACTGATACTGGATGATGTCACTTTCAGGCCCCACGGTCTGTGTGCAGTGAGAGCTGTCCCCCAGGCACCAGAAAAGCCATGAGGAAGGGCTTTCCTGTCTGCTGTTTTGACTGCCTGACATGTGGAGATGGTGAAATTTCTAACACAACAGGTGAGAATATTATTGTATACAAAATTGTATTATAGAAATAAACAAATGAATTGAACAAAGGTTAAGAGAACATCTACTAATTACAAGTTTTGTACCAACAGATGCTATTAAGTGCACAGTTTGTCCAGATGAATTTTGGTCCAATTTTAATAAAGATCAGTGTGTTCCTAAAGAAATAGAGTTTCTATCATATGAAGATCCTCTAGGCATCTCTCTGACCACTGCATCCTTGCTAGGAACCTGCTTCTGTGCTCTTGTGATGATAATCTTTACTTTTCACCGTAACACTCCTATAGTACGTGCCAACAATTCAGAGCTCAGCTTCCTGCTGCTTTTGTCACTCAAACTGTGTTTCCTGTGTGTGCTGCTGTTCATTGGTCAGCCACAGTTGTGGACGTGTCAATTAAGACATGCTGTGTTTGGCATAAGTTTTGTCTTGTGCATCTCCAGCATTCTGGTCAAGACTATGGTGGTGATAGCTGTGTTCAACTCCTCTCGGCCGGAGGGCACAGGAGCAATGAAATGGTTTGGAGCAGCTCAACAAAGATGTACAGTTCTAGTCCTCACAGCCCTCCAAGTAGTAATATGTGCTGTCTGGCTATCAACTTCTCCTCCAACACCACATAAAAATAGCCAGTATGTCCGCTCTAAAATAGTCTATGAATGTGCCATTGGCTCAGTGGCTGGGTTTTCTTTGCTGCTGGGATATATAGGATTGTTGGCAGCAATAAGCTTTCTACTAGCCTTCCTGGCAAGAAATCTTCCAGATAATTTTAATGAGGCAAAGTTTATCACTTTTAGCATGTTAATCTTCTGTGCTGTATGGATTGCATTTGTTCCAGCATATGTGAGCTCTCCAGGAAAATATGCAGTGGCTGTGGAGATATTTGCTATCGTAGCTTCTAGTTTTGGAGTGCTGGTGGCCATATTTGCCCCAAAGTGTTACATAATCATTTTACATCCAGAAAGAAACACTAAAAAAGCCATCATGGGAAGAGAAACCAAAAATAATTAATTTTACATTATTGTGGTCAACCATTATCTCGCTCACTCTCTCAAAGAAAAAAGAGAACATTCTACAGACAGTTTTGTAATAAAGAATATACGCACGCACGCGCGCGCGCACACACACACACGCACACACACACGCACACACACACACACATACACACACACACACAGTTAAAGTCAGAATTATAAGCCCCCCTAAATTTTCCCGAATTATGTTTAACAGATAAAGGGCATTTTCACAGTATGTCAGATAATATTTTTTCTTCTAAAAAAATCTTATTTGTTTTATTTGGCTAGAATTAAAGCAGTTTTAAATTTTTTAAAAGTCATTTTAGGGACAAAATTATTAGCTCCTTTAGGCAATTTTTTTCTATAGCCTACAGAACAAACTATCGTTAAACAATAACTTGCCTAATTACCCTAACCTGCCTAGTTAACCAAAAAACCTAATTAAGCCTTTAAATGTCACTTTAAGCTGAATACTAGTGTCTTGAAAATTATCTAGTGAAATATTTTTACTGTCATAATTGCAAAGATAAAATAAATCAGTTATTAGAAATGAGTTATTAAAACTATTATGTTTATAAATGTGTTGAAAAAAAATATCTGTCAAACAGAAAATGGGAAGAAAAACAAATATATATATATATATATATATATATATATATATATATATATATATATATATATATATATATATATATATATATATATATATATATATATATTTGATTTTGTCATTTATTTATTTATGTATTTTTTACATGCTTGACTTTTGATATATCAGCTTTGATATGGGGAAGTGCAGAAAAAAGCACTTTTGTTCATTTTACCATTCTGTTTATTTATTTATATTGCAGTAAACTTAGATTATGAATGAATGAATAAAACCTTAGTTCAGTGATTCCACTCTCTGTGCTATTTCCTCTACACTTATGTATAAATCATAATGAAAACTATATCATGTTTTTTTAAACAACAATATTTAATGATTGTTAAAGTATTTTTTTATTGAAATGATATGTATCTTGTGTCCTAGTGATCTAAAGTAATGTTTCTGTGGTACTTGTATGATAAAAGGATGATGTGAACCAATGATCATGCTAATGCAAGGCTTCCCTAAAGAAATGAACACAACTTGCAGAGTTTTGAACACTGGAAAATCTGTGTTATAAGCAGTGCAAGTTACTTCCAAACTGTAATACATTACAGATTACTTGTTACTGTTATTTAAAAGTATTCCCTTACCTTACAATATTACTATCTCAGAATTGTAATATGTTATATTACTCTTATATTACTTTTAATTACTCACCAAAATAACTACATAATTAAAACTCAACATTCTACAATGACTAAACGTTCAGCAGAACATTTTACATCCATTAGAAAGTGATATGATGTAGCAGAATGACTGTGACCTGTCAAGGCTACTAATAATATAGTATATAATTGGCAATTTGAAGGCTCAACACAATGCATGAAAAGATAACAGTCAGAATCACAAATGATCCAAGTCTGTTAAAAGTATGGTAGAGGTAAAGTGATTATCTGGCAATGTCTCTGAATAGCTTGACATGATGCAGATTTTTTTCCCCTTTTTTTATTGTTGCCATTGTTTTATTCATTTTAAATTCAAGTGGCTCACAACACAAAATGCACAAAGTGAGCATGATGAACATATCAGTATAATGCTTGTGCACCGATTTCCTGTTTATGAACAAAACTGCTCTTGCGTGCTTTTAGTACACTGCTTGACTTTTACTACACTACTGAGACTATATGCAGACAAACAATTCGTGTCTTGTGTTTCCTCTTCCATTCGTGCTTTTTGATATGATTTATATTGGTGAACTATTTATTAACAATAACCAATATACTAAAATAGACTTACATGTGAAATGTTTTATCTAATAAATAATAACCTTTTTGGCTGTGTGTTATATGATGAGATATTTCCAGTTTTAAACACTTAAAGAAACAGAGAATAGACATTGGATGTAAAGAATACATTATATTTTAAACACATTTATTAAACATCCAAAAGCTACTCTACACTAAAAAAAAAAAAAAACATGTTAACAAAAATATAACAAACATTTTATCATGGCAACTAAAATAAAGTGAATTAGTCTCTGCTGTCTTCCACATTGTTGATGAGATTTTGGGGAACATTTTCCCAGTCATTCTCTTTATTTTGAGGAAAAGGTATTCCAATGGACCCCTGAACACATATATTGGCATGTACAGTGATTTGAACAGTACTATAGTAAAATACTTCAATTAATCTGTTGTGGTAATAATATAGTTGCTATGGTAACACAACAAGTGTAATATAAACAAAACTACCCAGTGCTGTTTTTTATTTACAATATAGGGTATATTATACAATTCACCACATATTACTGTGGTAAAACTACACTTTGTATTTATTTTTATCAGTTCATTGTTCCTAATACTACAGTATGCTGAAGCATTCATTATCAAGTTGTAAATAACACTAGCCTAAAACATAGGCAGTATACCTAACAATTAAAAATGATAGAATTTTCCTTAACCTATAGGTAAACAGTATAACGTTCGAGGTTACTGAAGTAACCCTTCGTTCCCCGAGGAGGGGAACGAAAGTGCTATACAGTGGATTTGATCTTGGAAAATCCACGTATGGGAGGATTCGGTTCAGAAGCCGCTTGTCTGAAAGAGTATTGAACGGGCCAATGAATGCAAAGAATTGGCAGCGTAAGCTTGCGCAGGTGTGCTTCATTGCCAATTATCCCAGCATATAAGCACACCTGGAGCGAGCAAACGCCATCCTTTAAGCTGAAGAGACTTTCAAACAGCTAAGGGACAGTCATTATGGCGACGGAGTATAGCACTTCCGTTCCCCTCCTCGGGGAACGAAGGGCTACTTCTGTAATCTTGAACGTTCCCCTTCGGTTGGGGAACTTCAGAGCTATACAGTGGATTTCATCTTGGAAAATCCACGTATGGGAGAACTATGGAAAATGCCATAATGACTGCACCTTACCAACGCCCCCGATGTGGGGATAGTCAAGCAAGCGTGACGCACCCACATCATGGGAGGCGCGGCCCTCCAACGTTTCCCTGGCCGTAATTTATCCTACTTCAACAGAAGTTTTACGGATTTAGATATATATATTTGGGAGTCGTGAGCGTCTAGATAATTCTAGGAAAATACAACAGTACATTGGGAAGCGTGCAATCTCGATAGGGAGGACGCTGCGGAGGCCATCCGCTACCCAAGGGGGGGATAGATGGCAGAATTGTACATATGGACTAGCCCTAAAAGGGGGAGTACGCATAGAAAAAAATAGTTAGCGGAGAGGGAAGGCACGGGTCCACCCAGGGGGGGGGACCTAACCGTGGCGGAATAAGCATATGGGATCGCCTAGTGGGGATCACGCATAGCAGGCACCTATACCCAAAACGCGGGCTGACCAGCGGGCAGACCTACAACGTAGTGGGCCAGCAAGTGCTGGGGGCCACGGAGGAATCTGCAGGGTCACCTGGTGGGGAACTTTACTGACAGATAAAAGGCCGCACATATCTCTGTGTTAGAAAGAATGGCGCAGCAAGCGTGTTTCAACACCCTACCGAGTTGTTTCCTCAATCACCAAAGGGTTACCTAATACCCTTGAGGAAACCGGCTCCACTCGCAGATTGTAAAACCTTGCAAATGTGTTGGGTGTCACCCAGCCCGCAGCTCTACGAATGTCTGTTAGAGAGGCGCCGCGTGCACGCGCCCAAGAGGATGCAACGCTCCGAGTGGAGTGTGCACGCACTCCCAGGGGACACGGCTCACCTCTGCTCGAATAAGCGAGTGAAATGGCATCCACAATCCAGTGGGATAATCTTTGTTTCGATACGGCACTTCCCTGCTGCCGACCGCCATAACAGACAAAGAGCTGCTGAGATGATCTAAAGTGCTGAGTACGGTCCACATAAATGCGCAGGGCGTGAACTGGACAAAGTAAGGAAAGGGCTGGGTCTGCCTCCTCCGGGGCAGCGCTTGCAGGTTCACTACCTGATCTCTTAAGGGGGTGATAGGAACCTTGGGCACATAACCCGGGCGGGGTCTCAGGATAACATGAGAGTAGTCCGGCCCGAATTCCAGGCACGAGTCACTGACCGAAAATGCCTCCAGGTCCCCGACCCTCTTGATGGAGGCCAACGCGACCAGCAGAGCTGTCTTCAGGGACAGAAATCTTAGAGATACTGAATCGAGTGGCTCAAAGGGATCTGCGCGTAAACTCATGGGAACGAGGCATGAGAAGGGGGCACCCTTAAATGGATTAATTCGCCTAGCACCTTTGAGGAACCAAATGATGAGGTTGTGCTTTCCCACGGTGCCGGCCACGTAAACCTTGATAGTGGAGGGCGACAGCCTGCTGTCCAGCTTCTCTTGGAGGAAAGAGAGCACAATACTGATCTGGCAATTTCGGGGGTCTTCTCTGCGAGAGACGCACCTTTCAGTGAATAGACTCCATTTCAGGGCGTAGGCGCGCCTCGTGGAGGGGGCTCTAGCCTGAGTGATGGTATTAACCACCGCACTCGGTAGGTTACCTAAGTCTTAAGGTTCCAAAGATCGGGGCGAGGGTGCCAGATGGTGCCCTGTCCCTGAGAGAGTAGGTCCTCTCTCAAAGGGATCTGCCAGGGGAGGGCTGTCGCAAGGAGGGAGAGCTCTGATATCCATGTCCGTTTGGGCCAAAGGGGCGCAACTAGCAGTACCTGTTCCTCGTCCTCCCTGACCTTGCACAGAAACTGCGCGAACAGGCTCACTGGGGGAAACGCATACTTGCGCATGCCCCGAGGCCAGCTGTGGGCCAGTGCATCCGTGCCGAGAGAGCCCTCGGTTACAGAAAAAAACAACTGGCAATGAGCGTTCTCGTGGGAAGCAAACAGATCGATCTGGGCCTCCCCGAATCGCGCCCGTGTCAGCTGGACAGACTCGGGGTGGAGTCTCCATTCTCCAGGGCGTATCAG